TCACAGAATCACAGATTCATTCAGAGATCTATCTATCTGCCATTGGCTAGCTCAGTCTGTCACATAAAATTTGCTTGCAAGCAAACTCATAATTTTTTTTAGCAAGCAAACTCACAAAACTCACCACACACCATGCATGTAAATATTGATTTTTTTATTTTAAAAAAGAGCATCTTTTAGCCAAAATCAGGCAAAGCAGGCAGGCAGATTGAGTTGCTCACAGAATCACAGATTCATTCAGAGATCTATCTATCTGCCATCGGCTAGCTCAGTCTCTCAAATTTGCTTGCTGTGTGTCTGCATTGAATTTGCTTGCAAGCAAACCTTCAGTCCTAAGGGAGGTTCGGTTGTGCTTAGCTAGAAAGCAAGAAATCCAATCATTTCCTGCTTCCTAGCTAATCTAAATCTCCCGGCACAGCAGAACAGATGTTGGTCGGAAAAAGGAAAAATAGAAATTTAGCAGGCAAGTTTGTTGGGTAAGGAGTGAGTGGGCGGGGAGGGTTTCCGCGGGCCATGTGGGTGGCGCAGCCTTGTGTTTCTGCACAGCCTGGATTAATTGCTTTGGGGGGGTGCTCTGGGGGTGAGATTTTTCTGCAGCCCACCAAAATTTTCTCACAGCCCACCAGTGGGCCACGGCCCACCGGTTGGCGACTGCCGCTCCAAACAAATCAATCATATTTTGGTTTAGTGCAATTATCTATTTTGGAAAGGAATTACAGATAATTGGAGCACACTTATTGCCATCCAGATGCCAGACTCTCTTTCTGATCTTTCTAGACATCATAGCACTCTGGGGTCCTCTGAGAGGAAGAGCACTCTATTATATAAATAGAATTAATTATATCATTATTAAATCATCATAATCTTCCACTTATAATCCACCCTTCTCCCTTTGTCTCTTCTATTTTCTTTCCATTAAAAATAATTTGAACAGGAAAAGATTAACTTTTTCCACATAATACTAAGGCATGCTTTGTTTATTCCTATTTACAGTTAGTCCTTGACTTACAACTATTTATTTAATGACTGTGTGAAGTTACAATGGCACTGAACAAAAATACTTATGACTATTTTTTGCACTTATAACCATTGCAACACCCCTGTGGTCATAGGATCAAAATGCGAGCACCTGGCAACTGGCATTATTTATGACAATTGCACTTTCCGGGGGTCATGTGATTATCATTTCTAACCTTCCCAGCCAGCTTTTGAACAGTCACTAAACAAAGTGAATTACCTGTACTACTTTTCCAGATTGATTCACTTGTTGTCCACTTTATTATCATTTATTGCTTTGCAAATAAATACCTTTTATATTCTTGGTGGTTGTTATTTCCATTGCTAAACACAATATTCTAAAATATTTTAATATTCAGTTAAATAGTTTTATTTTCATGTCTTTGCTGGTCGCTTTGATTTATAGATGTTTTAAAGTTTTAAAATTGATTTTACTGTCTTGGCTTTTGACTTTATTGAAATATTATCTTAAAACTCTCATTTCTTGATTAATAATAATTATAATTATTAAACTTGTATGTCATTCCATTCTAACTAAGATCAGAATATAAGGGCAATTTTGTTCCATAGAATTTTAATAGAATACTGTAGAAAAATTGCTGGAGTCAAGTTGTCCGTTCCAAAAATTAGTGACACCCATTGGTCAGTGATGGTATGAACAATTACATTTTTTAAACTTTAGTATTGTTCACTTTATCAGCCGAGTAGGGCAAATGCATGAAATGGGTGTACTGTACTCAGGTGACCCTGATGACACAGATAAACCTCCAGGTGGCCTTAATGACTCGCTAAAAGAATACAAATGACCAGCTGTCTGCATGGAGTATAAATCCTTCTATTTACCTCCATCCAGTTAGAGCTGAAGAACCTTCTTGGATGAGAAATGAAACGTCTTCAAAGAAAAACCAGAAAGTCCAGGTGCCTCTTGAAAAAGCACCTTTGGGACTGGACTGCTAGCTAATCATTTAAATGTGTTGAACATGCAGTCTGCTTATTCATTACATTGATAAATGTGGCTGGCTGAGGTGATTGTGCACTCTGGATTGATTCTGGAGCTTTTGTTATCAGCTGAAGAGGCTTTTCCTGAAGGCCTCTGAGAGCAAAATGGAGGCGGCACACACATCAATCCGGACCTCGTTTCTCAGCTACAGAGGTCTTTCCGCAAAGCCTGTCATGGTGAAATGGAGGCCAGGGGTGATGTGCACAAGCAGTGACAAGTGGCTGCAGAAGAAGTGGGCTGGCAGTGGGGTCCTGCTGAGCAGGGCTATTGGTGCCGCTTCCACAAAGTAAGTTAATGGAAGACAACACCCCCAAAATAAAACCTGGTGCCTTTTTTTGGTGGCAAAAAATATATAAGACAAGGGAAACGTGGTACCTGTATTTAAAATTTGTAACATTGAATGGCTATGATGTGGACAGAGGAATATCTGGACACAAGATGTTTAGTGATGATCAAAGATGTTTGGATAAGAATAATTACTCTTTAATTACTCAGTGTACCTTTAGCAATCTGCATAAGTTCAGGACCCCCTTAAGAGTTCACCACACATGAGAAGGTGAAAGGCATCTCTAAACTGCATTATTTTAAATGTTATATGTATATGTAACACCAGTTTACATTAATGTAATAAAGCTAATGCATGCACATGCACAGTGCTTTTCAGGTGAATGAAGGATGTATGCAGCTATCTATTAGAGTTGCATATAATGGTGAAATGTGATTTCTCTCACAAAAGTGAGAAGCAACTTCATCAATGTGGAATGGAAAGAAAAGTATATTCATGGAGGAAAATTTAAAAACCACTATTTTAAAATGTCTGATAGCATAGTGGAAATATTTGTGTAGTGCATTAAGTATTTCAAAAAAAATCTCTCTGAAAATATGGCTATGTGAGTAATGGATATATATAATTATTTTTGCTTCTCTTCCTGCTAAGGGTCTTATTTTATCAAAAAACCATCCATTTTTCAATTAGTCCTTTCTTAAAAACTATCAAAAGCTGAACAGGGCTACTATTAGAAAACAGAAGTACAAAATGCAAGCAGTTTCATTACTTGAGGTAGCTTGGTGTGAGAGACAGTGGGAACATATAGGAAGTTTAAAATAACTTATTTTATCAAAAGAAGAAACGGATGGCACAGTGGTTGTGTTGTATTACAGTGACACTAAAAGGTTGCGTAACTTGCCATGTACATTAGACCCCTGGTTAGAAGCATTGTCAAAAATAGAAACACGGAAAGACTACTGCCAATTTCCCAGTGTGATATGGAGCTTCGCTACAAGTTTGCTTAGTTTCAAATAATTATAAAGTAAGACAGCAAAATGTACATCCCACAAATGGTTTTCCATTGTAAAGAATGTCTTAGGGGTTATCCCTGGAAATTCAATTTTTTCTCTCTTAATCATTCTTTTTTACAAAATGGAAAGATTTTTTCTTTGTTTGTTCTTATACATCTGCTCCCTCACAGACTGGAGACTTCCAGCTCAGAACACCCACAAGAGTACAACTGTTATCTGCACACTGATGACAGTTGCTTCAAATTTATGCAAAATGGCTTCATACATAAGCAGAGACTCCATGCAGAAGTTAAAAACATGGGAAACAGCTTTGATAGAACTTTGTCCCATCCTAGATCAGGGATGTTCAACTTTGACAACTTTAAGATTTTTGGACTTTAATTCCCAAAATTCCCCAGCTGACATGGCAGGCTTGGGAATTCTGAGAGCACTATACTTATATACTGCTTCATAGTGTTTTACAGCATTAAAGGTTGGACAACCCTGCAAAATATAATTCTAGAGCAGTGCTTTTTCAAACTTGGGCAATTTTAAGATGGAGACACTTCAACTCCCAGAATTCCCAGCTAGCATCTCAAAGTGAAAAACATTGTCTCCTAGGATTAATCTGGTTCTACCAGTAACAATCAGAGGGATAGGAGACAGGCCATTATAGAGGTTGTGTTGCATGCAAAAATATTTACAGCACTGAAATACATTATTTTGCAGACAAACTTTACAGATGAAATACTCAAAGTGCTCACATAAAGTTTATGCTTGTGGTTATAAGGTGGTGTGGCTTATATTTTAATTAACTTATTTCCACAACAAGCTGCTTTATATGTTGTGAAAGGAGGGTACTGGAGGCAGACATTCTCAAAGTGACCAACTGTACTAACTTCAAAGTTCATTCAAATTCCTGGAGAGTTAATGTTAGCTCTGAGAGGTAACTGAGCATAGAGAGTAAATCTCAGGCTCCAATAATATGCAGCCAGATAAATAAATACTGTTACAAAATTCTGGATTATATTTATCTATTTACTTTATATTTTTTAGCAACTACCCCCCTTTTGTCATTCATTTTGGGTTGGCCAGAACAGATCCAATGCAATAAAATAAATAAAAAAGCTCCTTGCTGCCATATTGGTCATCTTGATTTTTTGCAGATCACATCTGATAACCCTGACTGGTGGTGAATGATTGTACAAGTCTTATATATGTGGCATTCATTTTCATGTAGGGGAGAAAGGAAAAAAAGGGAGGGTGGGAGAGAAAAGGAAGGAAGGAAAGAAAAAAAGAAGGGAGGGAGGGAGACAAAGAAAGGAAGGGGAGAGAAAAAGAAAGGAAGTGGGAGAAGGAAGGAAGGAAGGCAGAAGGGAGAAGAGAAAACGAGAAGGAAGGGAGAGAGAAGGAAGGAAAGAAAGGAGGGAGGGAGAGGAAAGAAAAAAGGAAAGAAGGGAGAAGGAAGGGGGAGAAAAAAAGGAAAGGAAGGGGAAGAAAGAAGGAAGGAAGGCAGAAGGGAAGAGAGAAAAACAAGGGAAGGAAGGGAGAGAAAGAAAGAAGGAAGAAATGAAGGAGAGAAAGGTTGCAGACAGAAGCGGTCAAATGGGGGAACGGAGCCCCACAGACGCCTCCTTTGCAGCGAGGCCTGTTGGCAGCTAGGAGGCCGGGCTTGGGGCCGAGGGAGGAGTCATTCCGGGCTGCCTCGTCGACCAAACGGCGGGGACGCCCATTTTCTTGAGTTGGGCTGATTACCTGTCGGGCCGAGGCCGGGACCTGCGTGACCCTCCGGAGGAGATGCCGTGGGCTTAGAAGGCGCCGCTTCACAAGCCGAGGGGAGCGGGACGCTGGGATTCTGCTTTCGTCCCATCCCGCCAAGCGGCTCGGCCATGGCGGTGCGGGCGGCGCTGATGAGGGCGCTGATCATGGGGGCTCCGGGCTCTGGGAAAGGCACCGTGTCTTCCCGCATCGTCCAGCACTTCGCCTTGAAGCATCTCTCCAGCGGGGACATCCTGAGGGAGAACATGAACAAGAAGACCGGTAAGGAAGGCGAGCGAGGAGGCCACTACATCAAGCGATCTATTTCAGGGAGGGCAGAGTCGCTCTTATCTAGAAAGGCACAGAAATTCCAACGATTATATTTGTTATTCTAACAAAGATAAGAGTAGAACATGAAAACAGGCTTTAGGCAAGCCTGGTATTTAGGTGACTTGGTTCACCTATTATGCTAAGCCATGGGTTATTGAATACTCGAGGATTTGCAGAATATGTGGAGCCAGAGGCTCAGCCCCTAGCCTGGTGTGAAATGTGAACCAAGCCCTGGTTGATTCTAGATTTGAAATTCTGAAAGGGAAGGGTTACAAAATAGTTGAAAATAGTTGCAAGACTTCCTAGAATGCAAAGGTTGCAACTATTATATAAAGCTTTGGTTGGCAGGCCTTGTAACAGTATTCCCTTTATGTGGATTTGGGGTTTTTATTTCTCCAACATTTATTTATTCCATTGCATATGGTATCCCTGGGCAATGTATGTAATTGCCAGCAATAACCCTTTCCTAACTATCATTAAAACGCCAGTATTGAAATTAAATGCAGCTACAAGTGTTTTTATTAATGTACCAACTCTTCATTGGGGTCTGTTTTACTTTCACTGTTTCACCTCATTGAATAACTTGAACCAAGCTCAGATGTTTAACAGGTGAAGGACCAAGTCTCTGGCACAGCTAGTTGAAATTCACTGTAGACCTCAGTGATCTACCTAGTTATGTTGACCATAGCTTAGTCATATTTTTCTGGTGCTTGTAGAGCAAGCCATCAAGCATACCGAAGAGGCAACATATGTGTTGTATATGGTGGAGATATATTTAGCATGTTTTGTAGTTTGCAGTACCCTGATATATTTCAACCTGGCATGGAATACTGGCAGATTCCATCATTGGGTGGGGCGAAGGCTTCTTTAATTGATTACACTATAAGTTAAATCAGGACTGTCCAACCTTGGCAACTTTTAAGATTTGTGGACTTCTCTTCCCAGAACTCCCCAGCCAGCATGGGAGTTGAAGTCCACAATTCTTAAAGTGGCCAAGATTGGAAACGCCTGATCTCAAGGAATTTGATTTCCTTTATACAAAAAAAATAATAATCTAAATTGTCAATCTGATTTTGATCATTTTCCTAGTATTTCAGGGATAACAGCACTGGATAACCTATTTCTGGAAATGGATCCATTTGCTAACATGGGGCTGGGGCTAGTTTGTGTTAGATGGATTTATCAGTGTAAAGTGTCACACTGTTCTAAAATAGCATCACAGATATACTTTACACTAATTGAAGGTTGTTCTAGAAACTGAAAATTATCAACTATAGTCACTCTAGCCACTGCTGTCTGCTCAAATACTAAGGCAGAGCGAACTCCAAAAGCAAAACTTGCCCTTCGGTCCTGATTTAATAAGGAGTACCTAGGGCTAAAAATGAACCGATTGTATATTTTAAAATACCTAAGGATGATTTAGTTTTATACACAAGATCTGGGGGAAAAAACCCTGGAAAAATACCCTAGGTTTCCCAACTACACTTAATAGCAGCATCATAAGCCTAATGTTAGCACCTAATAGCTTCCCATTCAATTACTAAATTCCTTTCATTACCTTACCTTATACCAGTCACAGAATGGGGGAATGCTTTTAGGGCATTATATGGAGAAGAAAATTTGCCTGAATATAAAATAGAACCTAATGTTAACCAGTTCCCTAGTTGGGCCTTTTCTTTCTTACATTAAATCATGTCTGAGATTCTCAGAGACTTGCTGGACAAGTCCTAGCAAGATTTTTTTTACAAGCTCTGAAATAGCAGGCCTCATAAAACAGTTTAAACCTAATAAACTTCAGATGATTTTATTGCTGCCAGTCTTATGTCATAATTGAGAATAATGGGCCTCTATTTCCTCCTCTGTTCACCTACATGGATTGTTACCACAGAAATGCCCGACAACAGGGGTCTAACCATTAGAGTGCTTGTTTATAAGGAGGGTACTTGTGAACTGCCTGCTATCCACCCATCAGTCTCTAAGTCAGGGGTGTCCAACCTTGGCAACTTTAAGCCTGGAGGACTTCAACTCCCAGAATTCCCCAGCCAGCTTTGCTGGCTGGGGAATTCTAGGAGTTGAAGTCCTCCAGGCTTAAAGTTGCCAAGGTTGGACACCCCTGCTCTAAGTATAAGAAAGCTCTGTGCTAAAGTCAACACAACAAATTGGCTGACTGGATTAACCTTTAGAGCATATGGAGGCAGATGTGCAAATTGGTTTTAGAGATTTTATCCTTCAAGTATGGCACCATTTGGCTGAAAATTATTCATCTAAGGCAGACTCTGCCTCCCTTGTCTTAAGGCCTGCATTTGATTTCATTTGCAAAGCAAAGTTGTGAAATAAAGTCATAAATTCTTTTATGATAGGTAGATGCCTGCTGCTGTTAATCCGTAATCCTTGTGAGAATGCCAATGTAAAGTATTAATTGCAGTGTGCAAGGCCATTATGCTAAACAGATCCCAACTAAAAAAATAGTTCTTTGCTTTTAACAATGGTATGAAAGCTTTGTTTGGCAAAAGTGCATATGTGCATATGCAATTACTGTTTGGTGTGCAAGGCCATTATGCTAAACAGATCCCAACTAAAAAAACAGTTCTTTGCTTTTAACAATGGTATGAAAGCTTTGTTTGGCAAAAGTGCATATGTGCATGTGCAATTACTGTTTGGTGCTTAGCTGGGACCTTACTTTTCTTTTGTTCTATTGTAAAGGGTCAGCTCCGAATTGTTCCAAGTGGCCCCATGTGCTCCTAATATAGTATTAAGGAGGGAGGCAGGATTGACTGAAATTGAAGTAGGCTTTGCTGTATTGCATTCTGATTGAAGTTGTTGTTCTTTTCGGAAGGCTTCAGTTCTTTTCTTTCTGCAAAGTTTTGCAAATTTTATAGAACAATGTAGCAAAAATTGCAGTATTATGGGCTTTCTCCTAGAGAAAATTGAAAATTTCTAATTGATAATTTTCTAATTGAAAGTTACTAATTGATAAACGCTTATTCCACTCAAGCAATGTGCCCAAGATATGGAAACCTTACTGGATCCTTTTGCCTCAGGGTCAGCAAGATACCTGCACAATGTCCCTAAACTGTCCCTAAACTCTGGAGAACACTAACCTTAGCAAGAAAGCTACACAACTCTCTCCAAACTCTGGAGCACATTAATCTTAGCAACCTTTGTTTTCCTGTTTCCATTTGCTCAGTTCACATCAACATTTTAATGGGGCAGTTAATGGATGTATGTTTGGAATACAGACATGGCAGAGTATTACCCTAAACTCTGGAGGACACTAACCTTAGCTAGATACAACTGTCCCTAAATTCTGAAGGGCATTAACATTAGCAAGATAGCTACATATATATAGCTATGCAGTTGACCTAAACTTTGGAGGACACTACCCTTAGCATGCTTTAATACACTCCTTACAGGGGTTCTTGAGGGCAAATACAAAATAATTCCCGAACTAAGGTTGTGTCCTTATGGAGAATAGTCCATAAAAATATAATCCATGTTCTACCATATTATGTTTTTTTCTAAGGATACAAGGGTCCATCTTACCATTACCCTTTTGATGAAGTGCCCAGCCAATTCTGATATGTTTTATATACGGTTATTACCAGACCAGTATGATTCCATTTCTGTGAATGTGATCGAATTCCATTACTGTCAGTAAAACCAGACATTCCTTGATTTTATCCATGATCTATACATAAACTGTTTTATTTTGTTCCATCTGATGGTTGCGTTCTGATGAGTGACCTTATTGAAGGTATGCATGTATGTATCTTCCTTTTTAATGCATCAGTGTAGGTATCCCCGTATCCATCCTTTTTAATGCATCAATTTAATATTGGGGTTAGGGATAGATTGTCTGGGAGAAAAGTTAGGTGGTTGCTAGGAGTCAAAAATAACTTGATGGCGCATATTAGATTAGCACTGGAAATGTGCAAAGAATAAAGAGCAGTTCTGTTGAATTGGACCCAATTCCTGCACTGTTCAAACTTTTCAAGGAAAACATGGTTTGGCAGGCATTCTGAGACCCAAGGAATATGGTGGGACGTTGCTGATCTTTTAACCGGTTTTATGATTATTTTAAGACTATTATCTGAATTGTTAGTTGATTATAAGCTGCTCTTTTATATATTGTAACACAGTGTTTTTTATTTGTACATTTCTAAGTGATGCTTAGAGAGCCAGACTGGTAGAGCTTTTAAGACATCAGGCTAGAAATTAGGAGTGAGTTCTAGTCCTCCTTAGGCACAAAGCCAGCTGGGTGACCTTGGGCCAGTCACTTTCTCTCAGCCCTAGGAAGGAGGCAATGGCAAGCTACTTCTGAAATCTTGCCAAGAAAACTGCAGGAAAGACTTTTCCAGGCAGCCTTGGGCGTGATGGAACATAAGAAAAAAGGTGATACTTAGAAATATGCTGTGTCTGAAGTTCAGTTTACTTCACAATTGATTGCTGCAGGGTTGTTCTACTTTGCGAGGGGTCCTTGGTGCTCTCTGAGTTTGCTTGTTTTCTTGCAGACATTTCATTACCCAGCTAGGTAACATCATCAGTGCTAGTAAGGAGTGCTGATTGCTGTCAGTTTATATACTGGTGTCTTGCCTGCCTGGGTGGGTGAGGACGGTCTTAGGAATTCAGCCTTAGAGATTCTTCGACTGCCCCCACTCACAAGACAGTCAAGAACCAGAATATAAACTGACAGCAATCAGTACTCCTTACTACTAGCACTGCTGATGTTACCTAGTTAGGGTTAATGAAACGTCTACAAGAAAACAAGCAAGCTCAGAGAGCGCCAAGGGCTCTTCATTTCAACCCTGAGCTACTTTGTTTATAACTTTTCCAATTAAACAAATAGTAGAATCTGTTTAGCTTCTGAGCATCATTCTCTGTTGTGTTTTGCATAAATGTATTCTGTTGTACAGAACCGGGATATAAGAAGGCTCATGCTTAACCTGCAAAGCCTAAATTTTCTAAATTAACCACTGTGATAAATAATACTATAACAACCCATTAATCTGTAATCTATTAATCTATAATCCATAATGGAAAGATGGATTGTAGGGAATTTGACCAATGACTTGCCTCACATCTTGAATTGTGTTTATGAGAATAATTTCCATAATATTATAGCAAAGTGAAACAGATTTGAGATTATTTTTAAATTGTACTACAACCTCAGTTTTCCACAGCGAATCTATAAACAGTACAGGTAATCCTCGCCTTACGACCACAATTAAACACAACATTTCTGTTGTTAAGTGAAACATTCGTTAAATGAGTTTTGTCCCATTTTATGACTTTTCTTGCCACAGTTGTTAAGTGCATCAGAGAAATTGCTAAGTTAGTAACATGGTTGTTAAGTGAATTTTGGCTTCTCCATTGACTTTGCTCATCAAAAGAACACAGAAGGTGATCACCTGACTCCAGGATACTGCAAGCATCATAAATATTAACTGGTTGCCAAGCATCAAAATTTTGATTATATGATCCCAGGGATGCTGCGAAGGTCATAAGTGTGAAAAATGGTCATAAATCACTTTTTTCAGTCCCCTTGTAACGTCGAACAGTCACTAAATAAACTGTTGTAAGTCGAGGTCTACCTGTAATATAAATAGGGAGGAAAAAAACAGCCTAAAATATGAATATGTGGAAAAAAACCAAAGTGATAGATGTGTACTGGATTACTTTTAGATTTCTAAAGACTAGCATAAAGTCACCAAAAGATATACCCTGTTAGTTGATTGCAGAATTTCCTCTGTACACCCTGAAGGCATCTAGCCAGTTTAAATAGTTTCAAGTTCATATAAGTTAAACATTTACTTGTACCGACACTTAAAGGTTAACATCAGTGACTTTGCTGAGTTTAAAGTCTTGCTGTTCCCAGAGCACGTTAGTGGCTGCCACAAGTGCGTTTAGTAATAGAGAAGGAACCTAAGGGAGCACAGAGTTAGGTTTTTCTTCTTAGGGCAGGAAAGAAGATGTTATTTGCTTGAGCAATTCATGAACTCTCCTTTCTCTATAAAACAAGGAGAAGATAGTGAGATTTTCAAGTTGTGTTTTGTGAAAGATTGGCATCTAGGAAATGTAAAAAGAGGAAAATGATTATTGTTCATCATTTAATGTAAATGATGGTGCGCTTCAATGGTCAGATGACCTAGACCAGTGATGGCTAACCTTTTTGGCACCAAGTGCCCAAAGCGCGTCTGCGTGTATGCGCATCCCCAAAATGCAACATGCGTGTGCCCCTGCATGTGTCCTGTGTATGTGCATGCAACCCCCGTGTCCCGTGCATGCAAACCCCACATGTGCGCCCTGCCCCCCATGCATGCGTGGCAGAGACCCAAAGACCATCTGGCAGGAGTCGCATGCATGCATGTGCAGTGGAACTGAGCTGGGTTGATGGCTCGCGTGCCCAGAGAGATGGCTCTGTGTGCCACCTCTGGCATGCATGTCATAGGTTCACCATTACGGATCTAGACATTGGTAGTTGAACACAGATCTTTTTAACGTTTATATTTTGTGCTCTACTAATCTAGATGAACTGTTAATATATATTGCTAGTCCATGTATGATATGCCATACACTAAATCAGAGGTGTCAAACTCATGTCATCACATTGTTGTCATGTGATGTATCAGGACTTTTTTCCCCTTCGCTAAACTGGGGGGTGGGGGGGAACAACATGTGATGCATCTGGCCCGCAGGCCGGGAGTTTGACACCCGTGCATTAAATAATAATAATAAATTACCGTTCCTTTTCTTTGACAAAGTCCCTACTTTATGCTAGGAGTTTGAATGGTACATGCTAATTGTTATATAAACTAAGCTCACATGCTAATTCCAAGGTCATATTTACATTTTGTTAAATTCAGTATATTTTAAAAATTAAACTTACATATAGGCAGTAAGTAAGAAATACCACTGTGTTCAGGGAAATATGCTCTCAAGAATTTATGCATGAGATTATTGTGTGCACTTCTTGCTCTTTGCTATTGAAGCATCATACTAAGTTGCCTGACTCCTTCTGTCGGTAGAAGCAACTAAATACACTGGAAGCTTTCCAGCTTTATAGTTTGTCTTACCTTTATCATTTGTTTAATGTTTCTTTCAAATTGGAATCCTTGGCCTCTTGATTTCCCAAAAAACCAGAATCAGAAGCAAATGATAAAAGTTAAATCTGAAATGATGCAGTTAAAAATAAACAGTGATAGAGTGGGAAGGCATATTATTTGAGAGGAAACATGTAATGTAAACATGTAGTAGATATTATTATGACAGCCAGTTTGGAAGTGTGGTTGTAAGGCTCTCTTTACAATCACTATATTCCAAAGTAAACCACACTAATTAATTAGCGCCCTATGATCTATCAGTGTTTATTGTGGAATACTTCCAAACCAAACTGCATGGCCATAAACAACCTTAAAAGCCTATTAAGTAGTTGATCTGGAAAATGTCCAATGAAACAAAATGGAAATTTAATGAAATGTCTTGAACAGGGCAGTAGATGGAATTGAACAGTCTGTAAATGTAAAAGGAGAGGAAAGGAATGAATTAGCTATAGGAACCAAAAAGCAAAGATTTCAGTTATGGAAGGAAAGAAGAAAAAAGAAGATATCTGTCATTTATAAAAACTGAAACTCAAAAAAATAATTTGAGGGATGCTTATTTTAAGCAAGATTACAGTTTGATTTTAGTTTTGCAAGAGGATATTTTTTGGCCTGTATTTCTTTAACCTTTACTAAATGTGCCCATCCTGAGTGTGATAGCAGCTTTCAGGTAAAGTCTATAACAGGGGCAGTCAACCTTTTTATACCTACCACCCACTTTTGTATCTCTGTTAGTAGTAAAATTTTCTAACCGCCCACCGGTTCCACAGTAATGGTAATTTATAAAGTAGGGGACAAAACTCCTACCGCCCACCATGAAAGCTGGAACGCCCACTAGTGGGCGGTAGGGACCAGGTTGACTACCACTGGTCTATAATAACAGTGGCCCCCAACCTTTTTTGAACCAGGGACCGGTTTCATGATTATTTATTCTTCCACGGACCGGTACCTGAGTAATGCGAGACTCCACCGCCATCGGGACGTCTCTTCGTTTGAAGCCGCCCCCCTTCGACGAAACTAAGGCACGAGCACCCAAACGCCGCTTTCCAACTGAAAACCCGGAAGCACTTTCCAACCGAAAACCCAGAAGCAACCGAAAACCCGGAAGCGCCGTCGAAACAAGATGGCGGCGCCCAAGCTTTGCGGCCCGGTAAAAAATGATCCACGGACTGGTACCAGTCCGGGGACTGGTGGTTGGGGACCCCTGTATAATAAGACCTGATTCTCTGAGGAAAAATGTATTATTATTATTTTTATTGCTCATTTCACCACCAATAAAAGATGAATGTTTACTGAGAGCAAAACAAAACAACACAACAACACAATTGCATGCAAGATCCCACCTCATTAAGATTTTTCTGTTCATTCTTGCTTCCCCAGAAATTGGCATACTGGCTAAGTCTTATATTGAAAAGGGGCAATTGATTCCTGATGATGTCATGACCCAGGTGATGCTAAGTGAGCTGAAAACACTTGATCAGAACCATGTGCTACTGGATGGTGAGAGTTTGTATTGTACTTTTTTGTAAATGAAAGGTAGTTTCCAGCTAGTGAACTCAAACATAGCATGTTGATTGATGATAACATATTGGTATGAGTCAACGTATTGGTATGACTTGAAGCCATACCCACACGTATATCCAAAGTTGGAGTTTTAAGCATGGGCTGTAAAAGAGCTTGGATCCAATCACAGAAAAAAGATACAAAAGAAAAGTGCCAACATTTATATGACCAGAGCTTTGTTAAACAAAGGATGTAAAAGTCTGTTCAAGCATTTTGTCTATACCATCTTGAGGGGCTTATTATAACATTATTATCTGATAATAATTTGACACCTTCTGAGCTATGTAAATCAAGATGAAACAATGCCAGAGGAAGGCAATGGAAAACAATAATGGGAATTCTAAATTCTTTCTTTGATACCTGTTCAAGCAAGAGATAAATCTTCATTGCCTAATTAAATTGTATAGGGACTGTCATTTAGACAGCCAAAATAAGCTCTATGGTCTGACTTTTTCCAAGTTAGGAAGCCTTCCAGTTACATGGCCTTTGACTGTCACAATTTCTTAAGCAGTGGGGTTACTACTGAGAATTCTGCAACGCTTGACAAAATAGTCCATGTGAGAAGAGGTGTCCCAGATTGTGATAGTTTTAAAGGATGAAAAAAACCACCTTGTTGAATTATGAAGCATACACTTAGCGAATATAATGGATACTGGTTAAATATGAACATGCTCTCCAATACACCAAGGAGGTGGATTTTGAGACCTGGTTAGATCCAACAATGGTTTAATTGAGTTTCAGATGAGATGAAGTGTTATATAGAAATAGAAACTATCAGCATACCGTACTTTAAATGAAATGATGCAGTGCTATATGGGAATATTCCAAATATATCCATTTTTGGAGCTTGGGTGCAAATGTTTCCAATTAATAAACAGGCCAAGCCATATTCAGTAAGAGAAAAGTGACAGTATGTTAGCCGTAAACACCGGCAGATATGTAAGCCTGGTGTGCCTTGCCCAAACAGAACCCAAGTCGGAAAGGTAGACTAAAAATTTACTCAGATGATGTTACCTAGCTTGGATAATGAAAAGTCTGCAAGAAAGCAATGAAGCTCAGAGAGCACCAAAAACCCCTCATGTGGAGAATCACTTTAATCACTTCAATCATACAGGGCTTGGAGTAAATTCTTTTGTTGGTTAATATCATTTGACATATCTCTTACTCTGCACACATGTAGCATGTAACTTCCCATAATTTCTTAGTATGCGCTTCTTAATGGTCATATGCATATTCAGGAGGTCTCACATTATAATGAGTTTGCAAGTTACTTAAGTTCAAGTCCGTGTACGTGAAAAGATAATCCTCGCCCTTGGCAAACTTGAACCAGTTCTCTTATCAGGCTGTATTTGCGTAGCTTTCTTTGTTCCTTCAAGAACTGGTAACGTTAATCAAAGAAACATTAGAGGACTAAAAACATTTTACTAAAGATTCAACATGAATTAAGGAACTAAAAACAAAGAACTAGAAACATTAATCAGAGACAGCCAGTTTAGTCTAGTGCAGAGGCCTCCAAACTTGGCAACTTTAAGACTTGTGGATTTCAACTCCCAGAATTCTCCAGCCAGCATAGCATCAACAAGTCTTAAAGTTGCCAAGTTTGTGGACCCCTGGTCTAGTGGTTAAAGCATGAGGCTTGAAAGCAGGAGACTGTGAACGAAGTGCCACCTTTGTCATGAAGGCCAGCTGGGGGACTTCGGTCCAGTCAGTCTCTCTCTCTCAACCCAAACTACCTCATAGGTGTGTTGTTGTTGTGGAGTAAATAGGAGGAAGAAGCTGTGTTGCACATGTTCCCTGCCTGGAGTTGTTTATAAAAATAATAAAAGTGGGATACAAACAAACAAACAAGATCTAATTACTAAAAACATTGATGAAAGAAAACCCCCCTCAGCTGCTGCCATCAACCTGATCGGGCTCCATCCTACTGACAGCACGTTTCTGTGCCTTCAGCTATTTGCAGTGGCATTTTGTTTTTTCACAGGCTTCCCCCGGACTGTCCCACAGGCTGAATCGCTGGATAAGGTGTGCCCAATTGACACTGTGATTGTTTTAGATGTGCCTTTTGAGACCATCAAGCAACGTCTGACTGCACGCTGGATTCATCCTGCTAGTGGCAGGGTGTACAATCTTGAATTCAACCCTCCCAAAGTCTCTGTAAGTTGTGTCTGTATCTAGTGCAGCCATGCAAAAACAAATATTGAAAACCAACTTGTACATGCAAAAACAAATATTCACCAACTTGTACATCGAATCTCAGTTTCCAGTCAGCTGCCGAGCTTGGCAAATGTGTGCTAAATGTTGGCTGATCCTCTCTGTTGCTAGCCCCTGAAAAACGGTTCATTGATGTGATTGTAATCAAAATTGAGTTGTGTTGTCTTTAAATAATTCTGTGAGGTAGGCTGGGATTAGAGTTGCTTCTCTCCTGGTGATGAATAAACTATTAATCATAGCTGACATGATTTAACAATATCTGGACAACTATGTTTAGTTGGAAAATTGCTCATCTTTTGCAATCATCACAATGTAGGGACATAAATTGGCACTTTTCACTTTCAGAGACTGTATACTATTGGTAATTAAAAAGGAAATGGAAGTATCAGCCTGCTGGGTCGAGAAGCTTATGATGCTGGGCCTCAGACTTAAAAATAAAAGTCATTTTAAAATGGCTGAAATAAACTAACATGAGATTTCAGTTATTATTTTTTAACAGTATTCCTTTGGGGATTTTGTGGAGATCTTAAAATGTTGCAGATGCTACAGGACAGCCTGCTGAGAGTGTCATATTATTTTTTAAATGCTTAATTAAAAGGCAGAGTAAGAATTGATAGTGATAACGTTTGAGCAATACTTTCATTAAGAGTATTTTAGTCAGGCTGTTAATAGCTTTTGTATTTTTTCAAGTGACAGAAAATCTAGAAACAGACAATGTACTTAATAGTAATGTACAGTAATGCCTCCATAAGGTCATTCTTGTTCAGTCCATAATTTGATTTTTTTTACCAACTTGCAGCTTTATTTTTATATTCTTATGCATACAATAATAGTGTTTTATAGAAATCAACAGCGATCAAAATTTATAATAGTAACAATGTTAGCATGTATTAAGAAAGATTGGACACATCTTTTGGAAAGATCCTGTCATACAATACAGCCTTTTAATTGCCATATGGACCCATTATTCTCTCTTGCTCAATATTTTAAACCTGTCTCTTAATTGCTCAAGAGTTTTCTTGGACTGTTGCACGGATGCTGAATATTAATTTATTAAATATAAAGAATACCGCCTGTTACATGATGTGCCAACTTCTGTGATAAAAATGTAGGCAGGAGTGGCAGCTTACAGCGTAACTCAAAAACCAGTCAGCATGTAGATTCCATAGAAGAAAACTCATCGGTGTATAAACTGCTATCGTTCATGGTAGGGAATTTTCTTTTTCCCATAATCAGGGCTGTGATGATCACACAGGAGAGCCTCTTGTTCAGCGTGATGATGATAAACCAGAAACAATTATGAAGAGATTGAAATCTTATGAAGCAGAAACCAAACCTGTCCTGGAGTATTACCGGTAAGCACATTTCAGTGTGCAATATTTAGTCTGCTTTCTCTTTTAACATCTCTGCAACAATGTAAGGAGGTTTCAGATGTGCTATGCAAACAGTGAGAAAGGAAGCCTAAGCATGGATTTTTGCCTTCCAACTCATGGAGTGGTCTAGGACAGAAGTCTCCAATCTTGGCCACTTTAAGACTTGTGGACTTCAACTCCCAGAATTCCTCAGCCAGCAAAGCTGTGAAAGAAAGAAAAATGCCCAGTGGCCTAAAGGAGAAACGATATTGAGAACAAACATGACAAGACAGTACAATTATTCCTGTCCTTTCATAACTGGGATGAGAGAGAGAGGATACATTTAAGGAACATGTCCTTCTTGATGAGTTCTTCAGTGTCATAAGACTTATGCTGTAGGAAAGGTATTCTAGAGCAGGGGTCTCCAATCTTGGCAACTTTAAGCCTGGCGGACTTTAACTCCCAGAATTCCCCATCCAGCTTTGAACTTACAGCAGGGGTCTCTAACCTTTCCGGCTTTGTGAACCGGTGGGGTGGGTGGGAGGGGGGAGGGTTCTGCACAAGCAGCAGGTTGCGTACTCGCACACACAGCTCCAGTTATGGTCCCACCGCTCTCTTAAATGAAGCTTCCTGCATGAGTACCCGCCACTCGTGCAAATGGAACTGTGCGGGCTCACCCACCACTTGCGCACCCTGGTTTCGAAATAAGCCATGGCCCAGAGATTGGGAACTCCTCCTTTAGAATCAAATCAACTCTGCTATGGAGTCGCTTAGATTTGTGTAGCACCAAAATAACATTGCATGAATACTATGCTCTGGCAACCAAGCAGGACTTGGCCAATGGTTATAGTAGCGTCTGTCATTTTCTAATCGGCCCCTACAAGATGATTGCTACTGAGAAATGGTTTATTGCTTATCTACTGCTCCCCGAGGCGATAGCTTTATGACGTGTCCTATGTCTTTATCCTCCCGAAGTTGCTGGTTACTCCATCACCCAGGCTGTTTTCAGTTGTGGTTTATTATGTTACTGATGATTAAAGTTATACTTTGCCTTTCTGTTTGGATAAAGAGTGAAGTTGGTTTGCAGCCATTAACGTATGTTTTAGAAAACACAATCATAAAATTGCAAGAAGTGAAATAAGAGTTAAGTGCTGAAACGGTATCATGAACATTTGCGAAAGAGATACATTTTGGCCGTTTCCCTAAACCTTGGGAGAGAAGACTAAACAGGGCTCTTAGGGAGGGAAGGCACACCGTGTTCTGGAAGCTGTACAAGAGAAGGGCCTCTCCCACATGCCAGATAATCCAGTTTCTGACTGCAAGGCCATCTTCAAATGTCCGTCTCCTGCTGAGCCAAGTAACGTGTCCTAAGTATAGACTTCAGGCACAGAGTAAGAATGGATACAAATTATATTAAGAAAGCAATATAGCAAGGGTCTTCAAACTCAGCAAGTTTAAGACTTGTGGACTTCCACTCCCAGAATTCCTGAGCTAACATGACTTGGAGGAGGAATTTTGGGAGTTGAAGTCCACAAGTCTTAAAGCTGTCAAGTTTGAAAACCCCTGCAATATAGCTTGACAGGTCCACTATGAACAAAACAGTAGGCTTGAAGTAAGGGAAGGCCAAAAGAAAACATGGAAACAGCTTGTAAAACTGAGGGAGGTTTTAAAGCTACTTAATAAAAGAGTGCAAAAGCAAATAAGGTAGTCCTTGATTTACAACAGTTTCTTTAATGATCATTTGGAGTGACAGTGACACTGAAAAAGTCACTTACGACTGTTTCAGACTTTAGAACTGCTGGATGGTCACTTGATCAAAATGCAGATGCTTGGCATATTTGACTCATATTTATGGCAGTTACAATCTGCAGTGGGATTCTACCAGTTCGCACTTATTCTCTGGAACCGGTTGTTAACATTCTAAGCTGTTCGGAGAACCGGTTGTTAGAAGAAATTACTGGCCTAATCCTGTAAGGAAGGCAGGAAGGAAACATTCTGGTGTTGCTTACAGAAACTGCCTCTCCATTAACTTTTATTACATTCTTGGCAGGACTAGACTTCCTGTCTCAGGAACTTCTCTGGAGTTTTTTTCCCCTCCTTTGCTGGTACTTTGCTTGTGTGGAGTGACCATTCAAAGTTACAATGGCACTGAAAAAAGTGACTGATGACCATTTTTCACACTTACGACTGTTGCAGCATCCCCACAGTCATGAGAGGCCAGGCAAGGAGATGCGTGCCTCGATGTAAGTGATATTGAGTTGGCCACACCCAGCCAATAACATGACCACCAAGCCATACCCACCAACTCAGCCATGCCCACAGAACTGGTTGTTAAAAAATTTGAATCCCACCCCTGGTTGCAGCGTCCCGGGGTCATGTGATCACCTTTTGCGACCTTCTGATAAGCAAAAACAACTACTGGGGAAGCCAGATTCACTTAACAACCATGTTATTAGCTTAACTACTGTTAGCAGTATTCCAGTATTTGAGAGGCTGCCACAAAGAGGAGCACCAGAAGGCAAGACAAGAAACAGTGGAGGAAAACTAATCAAGGAGAGAAGCAACCTGGAATTCAAGAGAAACTCCCTAACAGTGAGGACAATTAACTGGTGGAACAGCTTCCTTTCAGAGGTTGCAGGTGCTTCATCACTGGAGATTTTAAAGAAAAGTCTGGATAGCCACCTATCTGAATGGTGTAGGTTCTCCTCTTGAGTAGAAGGCTGGACTAGAAGACCTCCAAGGTCCTTTCCAGGTTCTATTCTGATTAACTGCAGTGTTTCTTTCAACAACTGGCAAGAAAGGTTGTCAAATGAGGCAGAACTCACTTAACAACAGAAAATTTGGGCTCAGTTGTGGTCATAAGTAAAGGACTACCTGTATGCATTTTATAAAAGTTTGTATACATGCAGCCTAGAATCTTAATGTTTTTTTTGTCCAGTTGATCTCCCATACTAAACTCTGAGAATCTAAGAGTTGAGAGAGAAATTGTTAATGTGCAAATAACTTGTTTTCTCTCTAGCCAAAAAGGAGTGCTGGAATCTTTTTCTGGAACGGAGACCAACAAAATCTGGCCTCATGTTTATCGTTTCCTCCAAACGAAGCTGCCTGAAATGAGCCAGAAGGGGACGGCTACTCAAAGCTGAATATGATTCATTGTACTAATACATGGAAACGACTAATATATGGCTAAATATCCAGTTTCTATCCATCTTTGGAATCATAACAATTCAGGAATGGACTGTGGTGGAATTATGAGCTTCATATATACTGTAGCTGTCTGAAATCTCTAAAATAACCATGTTTTAGTTCTGTGCCAAAGTCTGTTAGGATGATTGACTGCTAGTTTTTTGTACTGGGCATACCTGATTTTTGTAAAATGTATTTAATAATAAACTCATTTTTGGCAACAATGCAAAATATCCATGGAGTTTCTCAAGAAAAGGATAGCAGTTTAAAATCAGCGCCCATTTGGGGAATTTACACAAGACCCCTTAAACAGGATGTAGGCAAGTTTATACTAAAAAAAAATGAGGTAGTCTGTCTTGTACTCTACCCATGTTGCTGGGCACAAGACTTTTATAAATGAATAGTAACCTTGAACATATCAGTTTGCTATTTTGGATACTTCCCTGAGACGTCTGTATTAAGAATTCAGACGGAAAACTGTTTAGAACATTTTGTTTCAAACTTCTAGATTACTTTCATCAATATTTACCACAGTGTTCCAATGCAGCTACTACAGCTGACAGAGCTTACGGCTGGCAGTTCTGAAAGTGAACTTCGTATCATCACAGTCAGGGGTGGACACATTTTTTTCCTGCCTGGGCATTTAGAATTTAACATTGTTTTTTTTCAAATCATCCAACAGCTGTAGAGGGTTCTTTTTTTTAATGCTGATAGCAGTAGTGTAGGAAGATGCCTCTTTTTCTAGAGTTTCTGGGTGGAGTTAGTAATTTAAGATTAAAGCAGCCATTTTGCTTCTTCAAATGTACCATAATCTCTGTTGTATCACAAACCCTTAGTTCCCTACCCCAACATCTTGGAAAAAAAGGAAGACAACAAATTCTAGTCAGCCAACAACAGTTAAAATATTGTAATGCAAAGCTATTAAAAACACACACAAACATAATCAGCAGCTGAGATGACAAAAAATCACTGCCAACAAATGAAGGTAACCATTCCACAGGCTCTGCCATACATCCAGATCCTCAGTGGCAAAACCTTATGTTTTAAGATTTTATGAAAGGATCAGGATTGGGGTGTGTGGATGATATCTAAAGGGTGAATATTGTGGCAGCCAATGTTGCCGCCTTGGTCTTGCCAAGATGACATTTTGAAATAGGACCTGGAGCGTATCTCTTGCTGGATCTAATAGCATAATGGTAGACATAATTGGGGAGAAGCAGTCCCTCAACCTGGCTGCATGCCTTGGAGGGCTTTATAGATCATTACTAGTACCATGAATTGAACCCAAAAGCATACTGGCAACCAATGCAGCTCCTAGAGCAGAGGTATAATGGGCTGATGAGAACACATAATTGCCTGCTTATAATGGGAAGAAGGAATATCCCTGAGGAACAGGAGGGAGGGCTGCAACTAAGACATTGGTCAGATGAAAGAAACCTTGAATCCTGGGCAGAAAGGGAAATTGGGAAAGTGTCTTGAGCATGACTCCTTGGTTCTCAAGAAGATAAAGAGAGGTGAGGTATATTCAGGCTTGCAAAATTCTGTTACCATAAACCAGGGCTGTCAAACTCCTGGCCCGCAGGCTGGATGCATCACATGCTGACCACGCCCACATCCAGTTTAGCAAAGTGGGAAAAATTCCCGATATGTCACGTGACACTGCCGTGACATGAGCTTGACACCCATGCGTAAACTTAGAATACAAGTTGTGCTCTTAACTTCAGTTTCCTAGCCTGGTCTACCTTGGAAGAGCTGCCAACCCATCACTGCATTCTGTATCACTTATAGATTTCAGAGTCTCTTCAAGGCAGTCCCAT